ATCGATAGTTTTTTCGAATTTTGCAATTTTCGCCGATTAAGTTTTAAAAATTCCTATAAAATCCAGTTCTTGGAATATGAGTATGAAAATTTCCCAAAGTGTTAATAAAAGTGTCCTCTTTCCAATGAACCAATCCGTTTTGAAGAATAATGTTTAGTTTTTGAGAAAACAATGTTTGAGGTTTTGATAAAATTTTCGATGTTGCAATTTTCATAGATAATTTTCAAAATTCGTTATAAAACTAATTTCTTGAAGGATCAAATAAGTTAATTACTTCATTTTTATTCAAATATCGCAATAATGAATATCCGGAATTCCGTCCCGAGAGTTTTGGGAAGCCCTGTACATATACAAGATTATTTTTAAGGGATCTCTTTGTTATTCAAACTGTTTAAAAGACTTGTTGTTCTATTTAACTAATATTTAATTGTGGGATATATCTAACCTTGAATTTTCAATGTCAAATTGAGCAAAATATTTCTTTTTGCGCGGGGCGCGCAACAGTCGCTCTCCCACGGCCATTTTGACGTCCCCAATCTGAAAAATCTCGAAAATCCGGTACAATTTCCGGTTCCCGCACAGGAAGTAGACGAAATTTGTAGAGATCTCCTAAACAGCAACGCGCAGCAACATCCGGTACGAATCAAAAAAACCTAAAAGAATATTTATCTACAACTATTGAATTATCTATTCGTTATAGACTTGATTTTTGACGGGTAATGACACGTATTACTCATGACTGACAAAGTGTTGAATAATGAAGCCATTATTCCACAGTTCTGACAGCCTACTAATCAAAAAATAAAATATTAACAGAAATGACAGCTTTCTTATATTGAGGTTATGTCTAAAATGTCTATCAAGTTTTTTTTTTCTTTTATGATTTATTTTTTCAAAATTAAATAGTTGTAGATAAAGTATAGTGTTCAACTTGCGTATAATGGATGTTACCCACTCAGATTACAACTTCACCTTCGTGGATAACAGCCGCCATTATACGCTTGTTGAATAATATACTATTATCTACAACTATTGAATTATCTATTCGTTATACATTTCATTTTTGACGGGTAATGACACGCATTACTCATGATTGACAAAGTGTTGAATAATGAAGCCATTATTCCACAGTTCTGACACGGCCTACTAATCAAAAAATAAAATATGAACAGAAATGACAGCTTTCTTATATTGAGGTTATGTCTGAAATGTCTATCAAGTTTATTTTTTTTCCTCTTTTTGGTTCTTTTTTTCAAAATTAAATAGTTGTAGATAAAGTATAAATAATTATATATATTATTCAACTTGTGTATAATGGATGTTACCCACTCAGATTACAACTTCATCTTCGTAAGTAACAGCCGCCATTATACGTTTGTCGAATAATATACTATTATATTATAAGAAACGGTTATTTTTTGCGTTCGTATCAAAACTATAGCGAACAGTTCGATTACGCATGCCCACAGAAATCGTTCGCGAGAGAAGCAACCCCGTTTTGAAGAATAATTTTTAGTTTTTGAGAAAACAATATTTGAAGTTTTGATAAAATTTTCGATGTTGCAATTTTCATAAATAATTTTCAAAATTCGCTATAAAATTAATTTCTTGAAGGATCAAATAAGATAATTACTTATTAATTTCATTTTTATTCAAATATCGCAATAATTTTATCCGGAATTCCGTCCCGGGAGTTTTGGGAAGCCCTGTACATATACAAGATTATTTTTAAGGGATCCTTTGTTATTCAAACTGTTTAAAAGACTTGTTGTTCTATTTAAATAATATTTAATTGTGGGATATATCTAGCCTTGAATTTTTAATGTAAAATTGAGCGAAATGTTTCTTTTCGCGCCGGGCGCGCAACAGTCGCTCTTCCACGGCCATTTTGACGCCCCCCAATCTGAAAAATCTCGAAAATCCGGTGCAATTTCCGGTTCGCGCACAGGAAGTAGACGAAATTTGTAGAGATCTCCTAAACAGCAACGCGCAGCAACATCCGGTACGAATCAAAAAAACGTAAAAGACCATTTATATTATAAGAAACGGTTATTTTTTGCGTTCGTATCAAAACTATAGCGAACAGTTCGATTACGCATGCCCACAGAAATCGTTCGCGAGAGAAGCAACCCCGTTTCATCGTCGTCCGCGTCGTCGTCGTCGTCGTAGACGCGATCGCACAAGTTCTGTTGCGCCTTCGGTAAAGTACGGACACACTGTATACGAGTATCAATCTACATACTAAAAATGCCGCACGAGAAAACGCGTCTTTTCTCGAAATACAATTTCTAATCAGTTTGTGAGTGATTTAAAAACCCACGAAAAGTGCGATTAAAGTGCGTATTATTTACGCAAAGAGACATTGTCGTTAACACGCCTTTTGAACCGGTAAAATTTTCGCTCGATGCGTGCTTTTGGGCGAAGCAAATGGGAAAAAATGAAATGAGATTGGAAATGAGTTTGTTTTTAACAAGTTTTTTGGGGGTTTTTCGTTGGTGATGAGATGAGTGAAATAAAGTATAAAGATCATATTTTAGAAGCAATTGACCAGCTGCGACGTCGAAAGGCTCGACCCGACGCTGATCGAATTTTTAACGCGCTCGCCCGCCGCCACAATGTAAATTACGCGGACGCGAAAAACGCGTTGGAACAATGCGTTCAAAACGGTTGTGTACTTAGAGTCGAATATAAAGGTAATATAAGTTATAGAAATGCGGCAAAAAAATTTTCGCACTTACGCCGGGACGCCCAAGGGGAAATAATACGCGAGAATACGAATAAATCGAAATTTACCGGTTTATTAACGCACGCGATTGCTGAATTGGTATTACAGGAACCCGATTATTTACAATGGGGAGTGCCCGGTGGTGAATTGCTTAAAAAGATATTGTCGAAAGACAGTGTCAGGTACACCGAGAAATACGTGTCTATTCTATTAGACAAGGAGGTACAAACTGGTAGTTTAATAAAGATGGAGAACGGTAATTTTTTAGTCGGTCCAGAAAAAAGTCAAAAAACAGAAGTTATCACGCCGATTAAATACGCGGAAATTCCCGAAACGTCCAACGTTCAAGTTATTCCAACGGCGGAAGTTAAAGTTAAGAAGAAACCCGGCCCTAAACCTGGATTTAAGAAGGCTTTTGCTGACAGACAAACCACAACAAATAATCTTGTCGTTGACAGTTATCGCGATAAGAAAAATGCAACGGACAATGAAAAGCTTCGAGTGGGTGGCAGGAGAAAGGTGAGTTTTTCATATTTAGTCTTTAAAATTTTTCCCCTTTTTGCATCTAATCTAGTTTCAAATCTGCCAGAGAGCCAAGAAAGTGTTTGATCCGTCCGATACGCATATTCCAAGGAAGAAAAGGGGTCGCCCGATCGGCTCGCTTAATAGATCTACCATTGAAAAGCAATTATCCAAGAGCAGTGATAATGAATCTCGGCCGGAATCTCGTTCTTCAACTGCTAGTCATAAAGACCAACAGGGTACTTGTTCCGTTTGTCAGGGTAAAAAGGCTTCGGGTGATCGATTGGTTGCCTGTCGAGAATGCACTAATAAAGGTAATATTTTAATTTATATTAAAAATTTATATTATTAAAAAAATACTTTATAATATAAATCTCCCATGTTTTTTTCTTATAAATTATTAATTTTAATTATTGTTATTCTAAAAATCATCTTGGTTATAGGTCAAACAGTATTGACAACCATAAAAAATAAAATTCTCCAGATTATGAGGAAAAATTTCCAGATTTTCACAACAATTTTAAATTATATTTAAAAACCAATTATAATTGTGTTTTACAATATTTATAAATTATTCTAAAAGTCTTGTTTATAGATATACATAGTTATCCAAAGAATTTAGTTCGTGGTCGTGATGCCTAGATGACGGGGTGACTTATGTGTCGCTAAAATCCCTAGATTTGCAAAGTACCGCGCATAGATAAACGCCCCAAGCTGTAACTCTGTCATTTACATTCCGATTTTCATGAGCGGGTTATCAAATGAAATGGTTTCATGAATACTATGATTCATGCTACAAATAAATTTTTTCCAAGGCCGTCTTCAATTTTAAGCGATTATTAACTTTTGCTTTTCAAATTGCTCTATATATTTTTCTTTACGTCATTGGATAGAGATTGTTTTTCTGAATCCACTGATGTACAATACATCCATTTTGAATATAATTTTAGTAGAGAAAAGACACCTGTATATACAGGTTGCCACACAAGAACGCCGCTAGCTGTACCTCTGTCATTTACCTTCCAATTTTCATGACCTAGCTATCAAATGAAATGGTTTGATGAATACTATGATTCATGCTACAAATAAACTTTTTCCAACGCCATCTTCAATTTCTAGCGATTATCAACATTTGATTTTCAAATTGCTCGGTATGTTTTTCTTCACGCTATTGGATAGAGTTTTTTTTTCTGAATCCATTAATGTACAATACATCAACATTAATTGTAATTGTAGCATAGAAAAACATTAAAATAGTTTCTGAACATTCTCTTAAAGTCACTTGTATTATACTGTAGTGTGCCATGGGATAAATGAAAAAACAACTTATAAGTATCATTTACAACTGCTTCGGGCATTGACATAGCATTTAATGACTGTTATCAGTTTTGCGTGTTATTTTTTTCCATGGCACACTGCAGTATTACAGAAGTGACTAAGACAATGTTCGGAAAATGTTTTAATTGTTTTTCTCTGCTAAAATTACAATTAATGTTAATGTATTGTACATCAATGGGCTCAGAAAACAATTTCTATCCCATAACGTGAAGAAAAACATACCGAGCAATTTGAAAATCAAAAGTAGATAATCACTTGAAATCGAAGATGGCGTTGGAAAGTGTTTATTTGTAGCATGAATCATAGCATTCATCAAACCATTTTATTTGATACCTCGTTCATAAAAATCTGAAGTTAAATGACAGAGTTACAGCTTACGGCGTTCTTGTGTGAAAATTGTATATACAGGTGTCTTTTTTCTGCTAAAATTACATTCAAAGTGGATGTATTGCACATTCAGAAAAACAATCTCTATCTAATGACGTGAAGAAAAATATATGGAGCAATTTGAAAAACAAAAGTTAATAATCGCTTAAAATTGAAGATGGCCTTGAAAAAAATTTATTTGTAGCATGAACCATAGTATTCATCAAACCATTTCATTTGATGCCTCGGTCATGAAAATCGGAATATAAATGACAGAATTACAGCTTGGGGCGTTTTTTGTGTGACACCCTGTATAAATATACTAATATAGATGGTGGGTTCCCCACCTTAAAATGAAACGCTGTTTTTAGTTCAGACTACCCTCATTTAGCGCTAGTAGCGCGGTAGTATTTTACCCGGGAATTTGAAAAATCTTTAGAATTAGGTTTTTGGTTTTTGTTTTCAAACCATGCATGATAAAATTTTACAAAAACACATTCACTATAAGCAAAAGCTGTTAATTCTGTTTATAGAGAATTCGTTTCTGCAAAATTTCAACATACACAGTTTTAAAACGAAATGTTGTTAAGTCAAAAACAATTTGACTGTTGAATGTCAAAATTTTATTGATTTTATACTTCCTATATGATGTCGTATTTGATGCGTATGTGTGAGTATTTGTACGTATGTGTGCGTAAAGTGGCGGTAGTTTGAACTAAATTTATGGTCAACGCATGCTCATACGGAATTAACACAGCAAGGTACCGCGGTTTGACGCCATTTTGGCTCGAAAGTCAAGCGGAAAATTTAAAACTACAAACCAAAACATTACGCCAAATTTCCTTTCTTTTTTTCTCGTGGTACTCTGAAGAGTTGAAAGTCCTTCTTACTGTCATTTTTGCAACTCCAAAGGCAACCAGACGGCAATATTTTTGTAAATAAGTGGTGAGATGCAGTGACAAGCTGTTAAACCGCCATTTTGGTACTTTGTAAATCTAGGAACTTTATGTGTCGCTAAAGTCCCTAGATTATCAAAGTACCGTGGTTCATGAAGCCTGTGTATTCAAGGTCCGTACAGCTACACCTCCCATTCAAAATATCAGCATTTTGATACTGCCATAATTATGTACTATTTATGTACTAATTTTGTACTACATTAAAAAATTTTGTACTAATCATTTAGTATTTTTTTTATATATGTCAAAGTGGGGGGTGTAGCTGAACATTCAGTTACACCCCCTCCATATACAACCTCCCTTTCAAGATATCAGCATTTTGTTAGTGCCATAATTTTGTACTAATTTTATACTACATTAAAAAATTTTGTACTAATCATTTAGTATATTTTTTATATACAGGTGTATCTGAATGACGTGCCCAAACTTCAGGGAGTGATTCTTTAGGCAATTTTAAGGGTACTTTAATATACAGGGTGTATCTGAATGACGTGCTCAAACTTCAGGGGGTGATTCTTTAGGCAATTTTAAGGGTACTTTGATATATAAACCATGGGCGACTTGGGCTCCCCTAAGGAGCTACACCCCTCCAAAAATGGCGGAAAATTTTGGTTTAATTTTTTTTTCTCAAAAACCATAAACGCTAGGACAACGAAATTTGGGGAATATGTTTAACTGGTAGTAGGGCACGTTTTCACCCTATTTGTACTTTCAACCTATCCTTCTAACCTACTAAACATAACCACCCCCTTTACATTTTTGCTAAAATTTTTTTATGCAGAGAGTAATTACATTAAAAAAAATTACATAGGTAGATGAAAGTATCCTAAAACTTTTTTGTCTCTCTAAAATTTTTCCAAAAACGACTAATTTTTGAGAAAAAAAATAATAAAGCAAACACTGCCCGTTCAACAACGGGGTTGTCAATCAAAAGTTGGAATGAATTTTATTGAAAAAATCTTAGTAGGCTTTGCAATCTTTGTCAGAAATATTTTTGACGTTTAAAT